ATACTCGTAGAATCCGCAGAAATAGTCCTATCTTTTTTTCCTTTAAGGTAACAGGCTATAAAGTTTCCTTTTTCCAACAGCTGTCGGAGCTCCATAGAACAGCCACTTCGCAGGGACCCCGCTCACTCTGCACGCACAGCAGACTACATTTGACCTAGTCGTCCTACATCAGGCATGTCAAACTCAAAGGCTAACACGGGCCAAATAAACGAGGCATGCGGCCCGAGGGCCACAAGTTTGACATGCTTGTCCTACATTCTCGAATGGCTATTAAAAGTGGCATATCCAATAGAAATTTCATACAGTGTTGTTCTTCAGCAAAATTCTGGCAAGTCTTACCTGAAAGATGTATTTGCATTTAATGGAGGACAGATAATAGAGGACTAGCTTTTCCTCACAGTGCTGGCAAAGTTGATTCATCAGCTTCTCCCTCAGCTCCCACATTCCACGTCTTCTTTGCTACAGGGTGTCTCTCGCCACCAGCTGCCCCTACCACAGGCCACCAGGGCCTGCTACCCCTACAGGTGACCTGTGAGGACCACACTGTTAGCAGATATGGCTTCACGGTGCTGAGGAGCACTTGGATTTGATAGGGCACCTGCAGTCATTCCTTCTTTCCCCAAACCATTTATCTGAGGATTTATTTTACAAGTACTTCTGGTCATGAAAAATGGCAAGGCTTTAAGTCCCAAAGGGATGAGGCTATAGTGGAGTAGTAGAGCTGACACGCAGGGGCACAGTCTCTTCCTGGGAGCACCTCGCCACACTTCAGTGGACATGAAACGGCCACACCAATCCTCTGTATTTTGATTCCCATTTTCCCTCACACACAAGCCAGGTGACCTCTGCTTCCAGCCGGTGTCCCAGGTCGAGCCCCCGCCACAGGCGTCCCGATCTATCCCCTGTGCACCTGCAGCTCAGGTCAAATGCTCTCGCTCTGACTTGTCTCTTCCAGAAACTTCTCTCAGATTCTCACAGCTCCCTGCTGGCCCCTGTTGCTCTAAATCAACAGGAAAATCAGTGGCATGCTACCTCCAGGCTGGATCTTTTCTTCTTTGTATTGGAAAGTATTGTTTGCAAATCATGAATTATTATTTACAAGCGTTTCACTGTTCCCACTCACTATAAACATCGAGAAAATGGTGTCTACTTCACCTTCATGTGCCTGCAACATTTAACAACATGCAATTGTGTGCTCTGTTAAATTAATCAAGTGAATAAATCAATGAATGAGAATGAGAAAAAGGAAACCAAATGCCCCAACAATGCTAAATTTTATTAAGGGACTTGGGGTCCAAGGATCGTCATTCCCTCCACTGCAAACAGAAGACATGCTCATGTCCATGGATGAGAGTGAAAACTCTAAGAAATTCAGAATTCTGAGGCCCAAGTTCTCTGTGTTCTGGTAAAAACTAGTATTTCCCAATCGGATTTTTAAAAAGGTTTTTAAATACAGCAGCCATCTTTAGGAACTCTAATTATGGTTTTACATCTGGGCCTCTGGGGTGTCAGCCAGACAGACCCAGTCAGAGCAGCTTTATGCTCAAGCAGCGCATTCTCTGGGCTCCGTGTTGTTAGTCATCCTACACCCGGCGATGGGCGGCAAAATGCCCTCGCTCTCATAAACAGGAAATAAGGGGGTTGGCCACATCAGAGCCGGCTCTGTAATTCTTCCCCTGGTGCAAAGGTGTATAATGGACACATACATTCGCAGCAGCAGTTCATTCCAAAGAGCAAATTTGCATCTAAGTGGCTTCTGGTAGCTGGAGACTCCACACTACTCATACCTCAATTTGGAAAGGGAGTGATTCAAAGTGGGGCGAGGGATTAAAAAAAGAACCCCAGGCTGCAATTACCCTCCTCATCTGGTAAGCATCTGCTGAGCTGATGGTGTCTAAATGGCAGAAGGAACATAGAGGCCTTTTCTAGTTTGTCTCCTGTTAAATAAACCCCTGCCCTTAACAATGCAGGATTAATAGCTGTTGATAGATGGAAAATACATTAATGCCACAGCAAGTTCAGTGCTTACATAAAGACTTTGTTCAGGAACTGCATGCCCGATGAAACTCTTAAAAGCTGCTGGAATTTTTCAAACGATGGCATATATTAGAGAAGGGATTTTCCTACTTAAATCACAAAAACATCATTAATAGGAACCCAGTATAAACAGGGCTGGCGCGGCCAATCCCTTCAATGGTGGCTTTGTTGGCTTAAAAATAACACCGGGCTCTTGGGGGAATTCCAGTGGTAAAATTAATTCTCTCTATAAAAAGTCTTTACAGATGATATTTCCGCTCAAGTCAAAGACAGCCCATGGACATTTCCTCTCTTTCTACGGTGGATCACGAAGACAGAAATTCAAACCCCGGACCACGAGAATCAAAGGGCCATTCATGTCCAAGGAAACAAAGGAACCTAATATTGAACTCTCATCAATTCCCTATGTATTTATTGTCTGTTCCGCTCTTCACAGAGCATCATGGGAGTATCACTGCAAAGCCACTCTTCACAGAGCATCATGGGAGTATCATTGCAAAGACACTCTTCACAGTGCATCATGGGAGCATCATAGCAAAGCCGGTGACTGCTGGAAGGTCTTTGCTCCGTGCCCTCAACATGCCGATGGGACAGTGTGTCCTGATGAACAAGATGTGAGCTAACAAGTCAAGTGGCTGCCTCCCGAGCACACGCAGGAAGGCAGTATTGGAAGTTGGGGCAAATAACTCCTGATTCAGAGAATAGCAGCACATAAGCGCAACGGCTGTGCTTTACCGAAAACTTGACACATATCATCTCATTTAATCCTCACAGCCTTGGCACAGGCGTGTTCAGAAAATGCTCCGGTTCAGACCAGTGCGAGTGAGCTCTGCTTAACATCAAATGGGGCTCAATTCCAGGGGCCATCTGAAGAACTGTCCCAGGAGGGGACAGGCTGCTGGGGTGCACTCACCCACGCTCAGACCTCTTTGCTTGAGGGCTGCCCCCAAAGTCGCACAACCTGGAAAGGTCAAGCCAGGACCCGAACCCAGGTCGGACTGCCTGCTCGTCACCACACCCCCACTCTTGGTGTCAACAGGCCTCTCATGTAATCGCGGTATTAGGCACAAGTGAGAGACTCGTCCTTATTTCTCTGTTTATCTTTCATTTTCCCATCTACCCACTCCCTGACTTCCCTTTCCCCTAACCTTCAAAATGGGACAGACTTCCCTCCGAGATGTTCACTCGCCGGTATTTCACTTCCTTCACGAGCTATGCAACTGCTTCAAAAAGAAAGCAAGCCATCCCGTGTGTGCGGAGGGTTGGGGGAAGCAGTCGCCGTGGCTGCCTGGTTTCCGCCCAAGCCCATTGCCACGGACCAGGAGGGGCCAGACAGTCTCCGCCGGGCAGGAGGGGCGGCGTGCGCTCTGGGGAGGATGAGTCACCCCACAGAGCACCAGTCTGGCCGGGAACCCCGGGAGCGGTCAGCGGCTCTGCCCGGGCTGCGGGGAAGCCCTACTCAGAGAGGGAGGGAGGGACGCGAGGATGCGGCACCGCAGCTGCATGGGGACCTGCGGGAAGAGCAGCGTGGACCAGCACCGCCACGCTCACGCTCGGAGCAGCGAAGCCGTGTGCACCCACAGACACGGCTCCTCAGGCAAGTAAGTCATCAAGGTTGAGAACATCAGGATGGCTCCCGAGGATGAGTCATGCCATCCTACCTATCTGCTTTATTCTGCTGCCTTGGGGGGAAGACAACAAGCTTAATGGACTGACTTATCCTTACTATTTAAAAAAGGGTAAATTGACTGGTTTTGCTGCTCTCTATAGAAACTCATTCCTGCAAGCACCAAAGTGCAATGATGGCAGTAAATTTTTTTGATGATAAAACACATAGAGAAATAACAGGCAGGGAATGCATCCCTGGAGAATAATGAGTCCAGAGAGGGGACATGCGTGTGTGCTACGGGGGACACGGGGCCTATCACGCAGCCGGGGAAGCTGAAGGACGGCCCTCAAGGAGCCAAGCAATGAATTAGTTCCGGCATAATTTCTGTCTATGACACTCGCTTGTATACGCCCATAGTTGGCATTGAAATTGGAGTGAAGCCTCGAGAGGAGCAGAAAGCACTGTATACCCCACTGAATCCCAAATCTCACAATCTGACTTTTTTATTCCAAAACTGGCCTAATGAACTTGCTTTATAACTAATGCTAGCCTAACAACGTCTCGTTTGTGGTTTTCATGCATTTTTGGTAACCATGCAGCGATTTCAATGGGAAATCCTCTGTCGTTGTTATCAAGTCTAAAAATCACATCCTGTGCCTCCTGGATGAAGACGCTCGGTCCCTCCGGGAGCACAACAGGAGCCGCGGTCTGCGGGGTCAGCTGCAGCCCCTCATTGGCTGACTGCGCTGTGTGAGACCTGCATGAGGACGAGCTCGGAAGTGCAAACCTTCCCACGACTGCCTCGTATGGAAATTTTACCTTTAGAAAAATAAACTGGCAAACAGTGTGTCACTTTTAGGCCTAAACAAACTTTTTGGTTCATGGCCTCCATGACAGGCGTGCAGTTTACTGAGAAAGTAGTACTTAACAAAAGAGGTAAAGAACTGAACTGCATGGACTCTTCTAAGAACCCAATAGATCGCCGCGAAATGTTTTTGCCTTTGATTCAGCTGAATAGAAAAATCAACCTTGGCATTTCTGTTGGCTTTTGTCTGCCTCCATCACAAAGCAATTACAATGCAAAGTGTCACGCGTGACTGGTAAACGATGCTGCAATTTTAAAGAATGCTACTTTGTGCAAAATTACACTCTATTTTCATGACAAGTGTTATGATTACTAACATACATGGAATTTTGACCAAATCTACTTGGTTGGCATTTGTGTTCTTTTCCTAATACCATGAGAAAACACTTTTTGAACAGCTTAAATAATCTAAGTTTGCAGCAAAAGAACAGCCTACAAAGTTTAGCTGTGGATACCGGCGGTTAAGATGGAGGAGAGGCCAATGCTCACCATTGGCCGTGTTCTTTTTGAAGTTGTCCAGGAACTCCTCCAGAAGCTGGGACTGGTTAGGAGGGGGGAGCAGGCCCTTCTGGTCCCTGGAGAAGAGGTCACTGTCCGACCAGGAAGTGCACAGGGTTCCCTTGGTGCCTGGCGGCCGGGCGATCAGCGT